GCTCATCTGAAACCTGTCCACCATGGGTGACCCTGCTGGTATTTAAAATACTGGTGGCATAGCTTTCAGAATCACAGCAACTCACAAGTCATCACGTAAGACAAATTGACAGACCCACATGTTTAATTAATAAAAATACATAGTATTTTGAGTCCTGCTGAGGCATTGTAGGATAAACACTCGACCAAAAGATCGCTTTGAACTGCAAAGTCAGTGTTTCTAGCTTACCAGCTGCTCCTCAGAACCCTTCTATACAGGTTTGCTATGGGTGGGAGCTGACGATGGCACTTAAGAAGAGCAATTTGCATAGATAATACATTCACATGGTTAGAAATCAAAACAATTTTAAAAGATACATGTTGAAATGTCTTTCTCCCCACCCTATTTTAATCTACTTCATTCCACACCTCCATTCTGTTCACAATAGGTGTCATATGTAGGATTTCTTGCATATCCTTCTATATTTTGGTTTCTCCATTTTAAATACAAAAGGTAACATACCATAAGTATTTTGCATTTTGCTTATTTCACATTACAACATACCCTAGAAATCTTATATTACATTGTGTGGATTTACACTTGGTGGTTTCCAATTTTTGCTGCCACAAATCCCCTGGTGTATGCCTTGTTATTAAATGCCCTTGAGTTGTTTCTGACCCATAGCAACTCTGTATAGTGTTTCTTAGGAGTGGCTGGTGAGTTTGAACCACTGACCTTGCACTTCAATCCAACCTTATGGTCCAGTAAGCCGCTTATCCTACACTGCCACACTGTATATGCCTATGTATGCATATATCTGAGAATAAATTCTCAGAAGTGCAAGTACTCTAATTTTGAGAACTGTTGCCATATTGCCCTCTACAGGGAATGTATCATATTGCATTCCCACCAATATTGTGTGAGAACCCTTGTATCTCCACAATTTCATTGACTAATGTTTGATTTTTTAAAAATAGAAGTACATTTTAGTTTAGTAAGATTAATTGGCCTGTTGAGCTGTAGGATAGGCACTGGACTTCTAACTGCAAGGTCAGCAGTTTAAATCCACTAGAAGCTCTCAAAAACCCAATACAGAGTTGCTATGAGTCAGAACTGACTGTACAGCACCTAACAACAACAGCAGGAATTGGCTTCATAAAGAAACATTCAAAATTTTGGGCATAAATCATAATGTAATGCTTAAATAAAAAAGGATTGGAACCCTTGGTATAGAGGAGTAGTGATTTGAATGTATGCTTACTCACCCGGTCCTTAATTTTTTCAGTTAGAAATGGTTTAATCATGGAAAAGACAGCATGAAAAACTATTGGCTCATTTATCAAATGGATGCCACGAACTTTTAATGGAAAGGAATCCTTTTAAAAGAAAGAAAAAGTTGATTAAACGATAAAGCATACATTAATGTTATAACTATCTTCCTAGTGATACATACCTTCTTTGAACACTACTGATAATAATCTCACTGTGATTTTACTTTCAAAATGATTTCAATACAATAGCCTACTTACAGTTCACTCACTAGACTAAGACTATATCTAAACAGGTTTTTCCTCATAACTTAGGCAAACTACTTTAACAAATACTGGTATCTTTCATAAGACCCAGAGAATCTCTTCTTCAATCACAAGCTCTTTATAAAGAACCAGCGAGTAATTTGACCATTTATATCTTTTTCTCAAAACTTTTTATCTTGAAAAAGAATTTGAACTCTCATAAAAGGGTTAAAAAAAGTAAATAAACACACATCAAAAAATTTAAATTTTCAACACTGGTATAAATCTCCAACATCTAAGAAATACAGATTTAGTTACAAAGCTTAAAAAGCTAAGAGTTGAAAAAAGTCTTTATCAAATAGTTTTACATGTATTATTAACAAAGAGGCCTTTTCTCCCAAATTCTTTCATGCAAAGTTTTACTTTTAGTTCTCCTAATTCATAGTTATAAAGATGTGCCATATTTCAGAATTTTACATCCAGGCTCTTTCTATGAATTATTTTATTTTATTTTTAAAGTTTTTATTGTGAATTATGTGATAGTTTACATGGGAGAACATTAGCTTTACATTCATCCTATCATATTTCATTAGATTGCAATGATTACTATCCCCTCCATGCATCATCAAACAACCAAAGGGTACACCTCGCAAGCCTGCCTCCTGACCATCAGCACACAGCTCCTCTTCCTCCCTGAGTCTGAAGTCCCCAGCTGCTCCATCTCTCCACGTCATCATCTCTGCCTCCATCTCTGGTGTCACTGCTTCTCTGGGTAGGGTCCCACACTCCACTTTTCTCACTTAATGGTCCCAGGGACTCTGCTCCTAGACTGCAAAGTCAACCACTTCCCTCCTTTTGTTACAAAACATCTACCTTTACATTTCCAACCCTCACAGTCAGTCCTGAAAGCAATTGTTCACTATTGTATCACAAGAGTCTTATTTCCATCTGCTTTCATTAGCCCCCCAACAGATTGGAAACCACTCAGTGGAGAGTCTACCTTCCTCTGCACCCTCTGGATCTAGGCTCTCTCTTGAAAGCTTGTAAGTCAGTCACTTCTTGCCTTTGTAGCCCTACCCCCTCCCCCACCCCATTTTGGATAGCCAGTGTCTTAGCTGACCATCCCTGTCAACCCTGTGTACCGAGTGGGTAGGAGTGATCCTCACTGTAAATATTTGTTCCCTCTTTTGAGCTACTGCCTCCATAAGTATAGGTCAAGTTCATCAAATTATAGTGGATTACTCTTTTTTTCCTCTTCTTTCTTCTTCTAGTCGAGTTCTGATCATCCAGCCATTGAAGCCAGGTCAAGTGGGTACTATCTGAGAGGATGGGTGTTTTTGTGCAAATCCCCTCACTTCATATCAGCTGGATGCTTCACTCTCTGCTCTAGTCCTCTGTGGCCATGTCACTGTCTTTGGGTCCAGGAGTCCCCAGGTCTCATCATACTGTTGGCCAACTAGGTCTCAGTCTGGGTTCACAAGAGTCTATTGAATGTGGTCAGACTTAGCTCACAACTTCATTGCTCTTTTTCCCCCACTTCCCCTTATCGGGGAATAAATCACATGCCAATTCGTGTATTCCCCTAGAGTCTTAACCTTGGAATGGGGCTTGCTCTGAGGGGACCTGATCACTTGCCTTGATGGCTCCCGGGTGAACCTTATCTTGTAGTAGTCAATGGGACTGCCATTATTGTTTTTTATTTTTCCTGCTGGTCTTTCTTTCAAGAAGTATCTTCTTGTCTTCTAGCCACTCCAGGCTGGTCTGCTTGTCTTTTCAAATGGAAATTTCCCACCTCAGAATATTCTGGATGGTGTTCAGGATTCCATATGGTCTTATGCAATGCAAAGACTCCACAGGAAGCCTCTTTCACCGGGCAAGTTCTAGCCTCCTTTTAGGTATTCCAATCAGTTATAGGCTGAAGATGGACTTACAAGCTTTCTAAGGTGATGTTTCTGAGTATTCCTTTCTCTCCCCTTCAGGTGTCTATTTTACAATGGTAGGCAAGGGAAACCAAGAATCAAAAGACAGCCAAGCATCTTAACATTGTTGTTGTTGTTGTTATGTGCTGTTGAGTCGGTTCCGACCCATTCAAACCATGCCTCAATCCCTGTATCCCAGAGCCCTGTTGTTCCAAGGTTGGTCATACATCATTATTTACCTCTGTCCCACTAAGCCCATGCAAACCAGCCTAACTGTTCTCCTATCTGCCTTGTTCTTGCATTCTCTTCCCCTTTCTTGTATATTGCCCCCCCCCTTGCATAATTTTATTTCAAATCTAATTGCTGATAGTGTGGTATTGCTGTTAGATGCCATTGAGTTGGTTCAGACTCATAGCAACTCTGTATAGGGTTTCTGAGGCTGTAATATTACAGGTGGGGGCCCTGTGGCTCTGTAGGATAAGCACTGGACTGTGAAATACAAGGTCGGAAGTTTGAGCTCGCCAGCCACGCCTCAGGAGAAAGATGAGGCTTTCTGCTCTCTCAAAGATTTAGTGTTGGAAACTCTAGACAACCACAGCAGCAATCTTTACAAGGACAAAAAGCCTCATCTTTCTCCCTTGTTGGTGTAGTTAAATGCCGTCAAGTGGGTTCCGACTCATAGCGACCCTGTATAGGGTTTCCAAGGAGTGCTGCGGTTTAAACAGACCTTGCCATCCTGCGCTCTAACCCACAGCACCACCACACATCTCCCTAGGAGCAGCATTTTCCCTGAGTTTGAACTGCAGACCTTGTGGTTAGCAATCAGTGCTTACGGTACTGCACCATCAGCACTCCTAATTGTCAATATGGTAGCTATATAATTTTCATGCTGCTTATTAATTCCACTGATAGAACAGTTTGGTAAATATTGTATGTTTTACTATCGTTGCAATACTACATTAAATGGTTGCAATACTACATTAAATACTACATTAAATGGTTGTAAGTACATCCTATTTTAATTTCTAAACACAATGTTTCCAATTTTCTTATAGTAAAAATGGTGTTTCAGTGACAATTTTTATGTATGAATCAGTGTTGGATATAAGCATGATATTTGATGTAGATGACTTAGTCTGAAATGCTTGCTTCACTGCTTATTAACCATGTTTTGGCATTATTGTTTTGGCTGATCCTCCGTTTTGCCAAGCACGATGTCTTTCTCCAGAGGTTGGTCCCTCCTGACAACATGTCCAAAGAATGAGAGACAATCTCATCATCTTTACTTCTAAAGAGCATTATGGCTGTATTTCTTCCAACACAGATTTGTTTATTCTTCTGGCAGTCCATGGTACTTTCAATATTATTTGCTACCATCATAATTCAAATGTATTGATTCTTCTACGATCTTTCTTTTTCATATGCACATGAGGCAACTGAAAATACCATGGTTTGGGTCAGGTATATCATAGTCCTCAAACTGATATCTTTACTCTTTAACACCTTAAGGGCCTTTTGTAACAGATTTGCCTAGTGCAATACATCTTTTAATTTCTTGACTTCTTATTACATGAGTGCTGACTATGGGTTTGAGTAAAATGAAGTCTTTGACAACTTCTAACTTTATTTTATTTATCATGATGTTATATATTGGTCCCATTGTGAAAATTTTTATTTTCAGTACACTGAGGTGCTGAAGGCTATATAGTCTTTGATCTTCACCTGAAGTATTTTAAGTCTTCCTCACTTTCAGCAAGGAA